TTTCAAAGTCTCATATCATAATTATGTCAATTTAAGCTGCCGCCTCTTTCGGTATTATTAATTTATGCATCAGAAAAAAATCATTCTTTCTCCACGCCTCTATGTTAAACAACGTCATATCGAAATTCCCTCTCACCTTTTTTATCATTCATTGGAAGTCTCACTATATTTAATGTATGGAGTCATTAGAGATTATATGTTTCAATTTCTCAATAAATTTATGCACAATAATTTGTAAAATACCATTATTTTCTCTATTACCTATATTAATAACACTAGACTCTTTATCATTCTTGAAGTGTTTTGAGTGAAAAAAATGAGCATTTCTTCTTGTCATTTCTTTTCATATCCATAATTTCCCTTAATTTATTATTCCACATCGTATTTTATGGGTCATCAAACTTAATTAATTGATTTGAGATGACTTCTTTATACACATATTTCAATTTTAATTTCTTCCTTTGAAATGCATTCCTTTATTTTTCAAACCTGATACAATCATAAACTTACTTGAATTCTTCATCAGTTTCGGTTTCGAATTCAAATCTGCTTCTAATATATTTTTAAGGGGATTATTATTTTTAGTATTTAGTATATAACGTTAGTTTTGCATTAATGTACTTTTCAGCACCAAAACCTGGTTGTTTCATAGGAGACTCATTTCCAGAGGAATAGGGAATAACTCAGTCGCACTATTTGATCCTATTTTCCATTTTATTAAAGGTAAATCTATGCATATAATATAAATAAAAATTTTAAAGAGTTGGAAAGAAAAACATTATTTTTGGAAACTTTAAAATGGTATATTTAGTTTGGAAAATAAATTAAAAAGGAATTCCATAGTTTTTAAATCAAATATTGGTTTCTTTTTTAAAATTTAAAATAATCGAAAACAAAAGAGTTTATTATTAAATTTATAGATATAATACAAGATTCATATACTTTAAAAAATATGTAATTATAAATTCGCATTGGAGGAATGCTCCAATAGGATGTTTGCCAGAAAAATTACACTTTTTAAACAATACAAAATTGATTTCTTGATTTTCAAGATATTATTCCACAAATTATACCTATGGAAAGTATTAAAGAAATGTGTTCTTCTCGGCGATGATGAACACAAAAAAATTAATGTTGCAAGGAGATTCTCATAATAAAATTAAATTTTCAACAACATAATAAATAAGATGTATATTAATGGTTTGTTTCTGAACCACTATTGAGTATACTAGTTAAGTACTTGGCCTGTCAATAATAAAGAGGGATAGTCTCTTGTAATGTTTAATCTACCAAATAAAACAATAATAAAATTCCATATTTATTTTACCTTCATCATTTGCTTATTAATAAACATACTTTTATCACTTCCGCAAATTGAACTTGCAATTTGAGTAATATATCGATTTATTAATTAACTACAAGAGTTCAATTGCTAAATTACAATTTTAATTGTGATGAATTTGTTCGTTCTAAATGCTAAAAATAAGAGCCTATTATTCAGAAAAATGGGGAAATATAAGCGTCATAATAAAATAAATAAAATAATAATAAATCAATTTTCTTCTAATAGAATAAACTATTCATTCAAAAATATCGAAAACCTATTAATATTTGAAACATTAATGATAACTCAAAGGAAATTCAATATATTACTGCCTAGATAATTCTTGATTAAGAGTTAGAAAGTATTTCTCTACCTTAAATTTACCTTCTTTATATATATTTTATGAATAAATGAGGTCTGTGTGTAAATACTTCTATTGTAAACCATATCTTAATTGATATAATTAATTATGACAATAGGTATCATCATCTCATTAATGTATATTGCTGTAGCCGAATCAAACATAAAGTGATTTAGGTTATTCTACCCCTTCTTTTTGATAATCAGGATTTATTTAGATCAAATCTTATTTTAATGTATTGAACATTTAATCTAAATAGACATACTATTATAAGGAATAATAAATGTTTATCATATAATTTCTTTTTCAAAATGTTTGAGTTAGTAGTAAACTTCTTCATCTCCCTCTAATATAAAATAATCTGTAAGTTTGATATGACATGTTTACATCTAAATTGTAATAACTATTATTGTATAACAATCAGAATACAATATGTCTTGTATGATCACAGAGAATGAAGTAATTCTTATAAATTATTTCCTGACCAAAAAAAGAAACACAGCGATATTTTCAAATAATTATTCAAAAAATTATTGGTGTATTCAAACAAAATAGAGCAGTAAAAAATCTTCTTTTAAGGATTTGGAAAATTTAGTTTAATGATTTTAAGAATAGTTTATTGTAGTCAAGTTGAATGTATGTTAGAATCATAAAATTCAATCTTTTTTCAGAATATCTTCTCTTTCAGTCTAAAAGGATTTTGTAAGTTAACGAACTAATAGAGAATAAATATTAACTAAATTTTTCTCTCCTTATTACAATAAAATTTGATTCATCAAATTTAATTTTGTCTAAATGATGCCAACAATTAAATTCAATCACACATTTTAATTATTTGGATGTAGAAATTATTACAAGCTTAATGAATAATATAATAGTTAGTAATTTTGATGTCTTTGTGTTGGATACCGCAATAAGTAGTAATAGCATATTCAGTTTAGAAGTTAAAAACAAGGAAATTTAATCTAAGTTTAAATGATAATCCAGTTTCATTGATATTAAAGTCTTAGTTATACCCAAAATATTATTTATTTGTAAGCTTTTGGACTCACGTGGTCATTGAAGCTTTTTCTGCGATTATATGGATGGGTTCATCTCTAAAACAACAAAAAGTCAGCGACTTAATTTTAAACATTTGCTACATTACCTTGACAATTGATAGGGGAAATTTTCTAATCAAGAATTTTGAATTTGATAATTAATCAAAATTATAATCAGAATATTCTAAATCAAATAGCACTTATATCGTTTAAAACAAACCTTTTTAAAAATTAATCTTATATAACTATTTGAGTCATAAAATATTTAATGCTTGTCAGTTTAGATAAAATATTGTTACAAATCCCTCTTATAGATCATAACGAAACAAAATTATTTTCATAATCGATACATTATGCTCTCTTGAATAATGATAAGTTTAGAAAAGTACTATTTAAAATTCTCTAGAAAAGATACTTCTTACTCATAGATAAATTATTAATCTCATATTCATTAATAATCACTGTAAATTAAATAAATTCCTTTAATTCTTAGAGGTTATAAATCTAAAAATTGAAATTGAAATGACTTATGCAAAAATACTAATTATTTTTAGTTTTTAACCAAGTGAAGATGAATCAAGTATATGATTTTAAATACATAATCAGAATAAATGTAAATAATTAATAAATAATGGATTAATAATACCATACCTGAAAAAGAGATTATTAGGTTTGAAATTTCGTTGAAGAAGTGAATTTGTTGAATTGTTTTTAAGTAAATTAATATTTAATGTGAAGTAATTTAATAGAATTAGGATAATAGAAATACGAGGTTAAGAATGATTATACATTTAATATAAAATATAAAAATGATTTAATAAGCAAGTTTGAAGTTAAAATGTTAAGAAGATAACCATAAGGAAGAGATTGATTTTATTTGTTATCATGAATTTTGTACAGGATTTTGATTAAATTGTTTTGATTGTTTTAAAAAGGGAATTCATCATACTCATTCTGATGATGTTAAAAAAGTTAACAGTTTGATTCCATTTATTGAAAGTAACAATAAAGAGTGTGACAATTTGATTGATGATCTTAACAAATGTGTAGAAA